TTTACTAAAACCCGAAAAAAATATTTATTTAGGTGAAAATTTTTTATAACATTTCAAATTTATTTTTGGGTATTTTTTTCGTTTTGTTAGAACCATGCAATTATTTTCAACTACTTTTTGTTATGTAAAATTTATTATAAAATAAAATAAATTAAAAAAAAATGAAAAATTAAGGCTCCAGTGAATTACGAACACTAAATGCCAGTTTTGAACCACTGTGCAGCAGGGGGTCTATTGTTCTCTTTCAGCGAAACTGGAAACTCAGCGTGCAACACGATCCTGGGCACAACTTTCCCCGTGCTTTATAGATTGTACAAAGATTACCGATTAAATAGAAACACTTAAGTTGGGTGCGAAACAAACTGGCGAAGGTTTTCACTATATTTTATAAGGGACATTTTTATTTTTCATATTCTGTGTTTAAAAATTTACCTCTAAAAAATGCAGAGCTAATTTAAAGGATAGTTTAAGAAATAAAGGACAAAAGGCGTCCTTTATTTTGAAAAAAAGTATATAGGACAGGGGGTTAAAATAAAGGGCTGTCCTTTGAAATAAAGCACGGATGGTCACCGTAGGTATATGGTGTACAGAAATATCCCTTCTCCCTTACAGTAAACCTTTTAGTGTGGGCAACAACGGTATTTTTCAAATAAGGCAGATTGGAAAATGCGCTCTCAGAGAAGACAATACCTGTAATTATTGAACCATGGTTTGATTTACTTAAATATTACAATATATGCAAACGAAAAACAATTGCCTAAAGATTTGTTGTAACTCGCGATTAGTGCCGTTTAAGATCAATTACGCGAGTGAAAAAAAGAACGTGCGCCTTTTTTGTTGTCTCTTCGATTTTGTAATTTACATTTATAATTTGATAAAATGGAAAATAATTTTTCGTATATATCATCAACTTCAGAAATAGATATAGCATCGCCTACTTTATCTAAATCTACCATATGTACGGTGACCATCCGTCCTTTATTATACGGGACAGTCCTCTTTTTTGACCCATTGTAATGGTAATTTATTTATTTTATACGGGACGCCAAATGTTCTGAATTCCTTTTAATATCCTGTATTTGTCCCGTATTCTGTATTACGTATTTTGACGCCTTTACAGCTCATTAAAATGGCATGCCTATGAACCAGTTTTAAGTGATGTTGGTATATGATCGTAATTTTCTCCATAAACAGCTATTATTTTCTAATTTGAATGCCTGTGATTAGAATCGAGGAATACATACAGTGACCAAAATATAAATCAGAACCCGACTTTTTAGCAAGGTTTGGCCATTTTCCTTTAGTTTAATAATGTTTATTATTTTTTTATGAAAGTAAAGCTCTTTGTCTAATAAAAACCATATAAATCCAAGTTTCCGACTTTGTGCAAAAAACTGTAAAAATTAATTCTGCAATGTTTCTCCAAAATTTCAAACTTTTTAATTAGAATCTTTAGAAAAAAGATTTGGTTAGCAGTTTTGTAGCTCATTAAATTCGAGTATAATAAAGTGCAAGTGGAAAGAGATGCTCATTTGCTTCCCTTTTAAAAAAATTGTTGAACATAGATGCTTAATTTGTATGAAAAACTGCGTTACACCGTCAACAAAAGAATTGCCAAAAAAAGTCTTAGAGATATCAATATTACACTTTATAATACTAAAATTTAACGAATTTTTTAACAAATTTCGCGGGCTGAAAATCTCGAGAAAAATATCCCACAAATTTGAAATGTTACTATAAGGATGCTGTTTCAGGGTTTATAAATCTAGGATCTTGGACTTTAAGATCTGTAAGTTTTTGTTGAATAAATTCACAAAATTAAATTTTGTCCCGTATTCGGCTCCCATAAATATGGTCACCGTAGCTATACACCAGTTTTTACCCGAAAAGCGTTCCCGTACTTTTTGGTTTTTCCCGCTTTCTCTTAGAGCAATTTTGCTTTTTGACAATTTTACAGGTTTTATCCAGAAAAGTTGAGGAACGAAACTACTATTTTTCTAAATAAACAAAGTGCATCTTATTCAGTGTAGCTTCGTTATTTGAATTTTCGTTTATTTGAAAAATATGCATTGTGTGTATCAACCACATCTTTTTATATTCAGAGTCGTTTGGCAAATTGGGTACATGTGCATATATACATGGTCAATTCAGCAGGAAAGTAAACCAGTCCGATTTTTTCTTTCTTTCAAATATTGTACATATTGGTATTCACTATATCTGTCAGCTGCTTCTGACACTAATTTTTATCATGTCCAAGTAATTTGTGTTTAATATTTCGCTTCTTTTTTCGAAAGATTTTTCTCGAACCTAAAAACAGTTTTCAATACTAGAACAAGGAAAACTACAAAAACACAAGCTTTCCTTCGTTTATTTTGGATGAAAAAATTCTAAACGATAGAAAATAAATTAGTTTAACAGGATACGTTCCAAGTTAGCGAAAAAGTTGTTTAGAACTCCTATTAAGTCGTAATGAAATGTACCGCAAATGTTAAGTGTAACGTAGCCAGTGAAAAACTAAAAAGTTGTTTTTCGGATACTTAAGTATCCTTTCCAAAAGGATATTTAACATGTTTTCTTAGTATTGTTGACATCTTACGTATGCCATATGGAAAAAAAGAAATCGTAGCTGATTTCGTTGCACAACTACCTAATAAATAAATGTAACGTGGCCAGTGTTTTCTTTTGATTTAAATTTTTTTATTGACTTGATAACTATTCTCGTTTCATTTTAACAATAAATAATAAGACATATTGAAGAAAGTCTTACCTTGAATAATTGCGAATTGAGTATTATCCCTGTAGTCAAATGTACTATTTGTAAACTACCTCACAACTAGTATGAACTGCATGCCCAACTAGTCAGCCAGCTAGCTTTTTTCCATGCAGTCAACTGGTATTTTTAACACGGGGATGTCCTACGAGATGACAATTGTCAGATTTCGGTCAGAAATATACCAGTCTCATACTAGTTCAAAATAGACAGAAAAATACTAGTATAATTATAGGCCAAAATGACTATTTTGGAAGTCAAAAAATATAATAAATTCATGAATATACAATAAAAACACTTTAATACATTACACAATTTTATGTAGTGTTAAATTTTTTGAGTATTTATTAAAAGGAAAAATAAATACATAAATACTTCAAACTTTCGAACATAAATTTAAATGCATTTTGGATTAAATTATATTAAAAGTAAAAGCTTGAATATGGAAAACATTTTAGTTAAAAATAAAAAGATACCTTAGTTAATTTTTGAGTAAACTAAGTGAATAAAAAATTTTTTAAAAGTAATAATTAGTGTTTAAAATTTGAGATTTGGATAAGAATAAAATAAATAAATAATTCAAGCAGTTATTAAATATTCTTAATATGTGTCTATACTTTGGCTTGTTGATTGATAATTAAAATTAATCAAATAATCATATTAATCGTGTAATTAAAAAAAGTCAAAAATATAATGATGTAATTAAAGTTAACGAATTAATTAAAATATTTATGTTTAAGTAATTAATTATTAATCATTAAGCAGGTGCCAATGTCGGTATTCAATCATTAAACGGTTATCCAAAAAAACATGGTTTAATTAATAATCATTATGAATATTAATCATTATTTAACAGGTATGGTAAAATTGCGAGTACGTACTCGCTGTAACGGTTTACCATATACTCAAATAAAAGTTAGAATATTTTGTGTACTCTATTGTATTAAACTGTCGAAGTCAAATAAAACTGGGCATGAATAAATCTTTTTGTACTTACTACAAGTCTGATCACTTTTAAACTAGTTCGGTTTCAGTCAGGAAATTCTGGTTGTAAACTAGTATTTTTCCTGACTAGGTTGGGGTTTCACTGCAGGGATACTACTGAGTTTTAATAGCTATTCTATTTATATAAGGCGAAGCTAACATTTGTAAAATATTCTTTGAAATCTTTATCTCTAAAGATTTTGATTATATATGTGATTGCCTTGAACTCAATGAATTTTTTTGCAACATGTAAAACTGATAAGTTATCATCCCTTTCCACGTGATTGTATTCACTACAATTTTATAGAATCTGGTACAAGTCTACACCAGACTATGAAGAGTTTATTAATCTATTGATTTTGCTAAAAATTGTTTACGCAAGAACTCTTCTATAAAACTGCGATAAATGCATTAAGACTTTTGTATCTAAGATTAAAGAAGTTACAGAAACCACCGTATCAGTTCTGAAATTGTCTTAGATGATTTAAAGAAAAAACAGTGATTCAGAATGGATTAAAAAAAAAACACAGAACACTTTAGATGGACTTATGAATATTTTAAGTTATTAAACATAAGTGGTTTTTGCAGCAAAGTTAAGTAATTTTTATTTGTGACGATAAAACAAAGATTTTCCGGTCAAGAATTTTACTGTTGGATTATTTTTGACCTAGTTGCAATTTTTAAGGATAATCGAGTTGAATTTTTTAACCTTGAATAGATTCCTTATTTCAGCTCACACATTTGTTTATGATGACAGAATAAGAACGCGAAGAAAAAATGGTTTAGCGAAGCCTTTTGGTTAAACCTTAAAAACCTAAAATTTTTAGCAATTTAGTATGCAGATGTCCTCCTGCATTCATTGTAGATGACATACTGAAAAATTAGCAATATTCGTTCACCCACTCGCAGAAATTTCAAGGTTTCTGACATGACCAATCCTTGAACTTCTTAAAAGTGTAACGTTGCCAGTGCACATTCGAATGCCAATGACTTTGAAGCCAAAGGAATTATTAAAACCTTGCTTTTACAGAAACATAGATTTGACCATGCCTAATCATATCATTTAAAAACCGAGGTGGTTTTCTGTTATTTGATGGACAATTGATTCATATTGTAGAAAAAATGCGTACGAATGTAATGTTGCCAGTCAAATAATCGACCACATACATATGAATGTTTCTGTCTAAAAATGTAAAGAATGGCTAGTCTGTGTGGTTAAATCCCATTATCTTTAATTTATTTTCAGAGCATGAAGAAAAGCAAAATCGGTTTAGAGCGCTCAGAAATCGGCAAGACCTTTTCCAAGAAGAAGGAGTGCTCAATCTAATCCTAGAAGCTATCGATAAAATTAACGTGATCACTTCGCAAGGATTTTTGGCAAGTTTTTTGGCTGGCGATGAGACTGGTCAAAGCTGGGACTTGATATCGACATATCTTTATCAACTATTGGCCGCTATTATCAAGGGAAACCATACTAATTGTGCACAGTTTGCCAACAGTAACCGTTTAAATTGGTTATTTTCGCGGTTGGGCTCACAAGCATCCAGTGAGGGCTCAGGTATGTTGGATGTATTACACTGCGTACTCATTGATTCACCAGAAGCATTGAACATGATGCGTGACGAGCATATCAAAGTTATTATCTCGTTACTGGAAAAACATGGTCGAGACCCTAAAGTTCTCGATGTATTGTGTTCTCTTTGTGTTGGCAATGGTGTGGCAGTTCGGTCATCGCAAAATAATATTTGCGACTTTCTATTGCCTGGAAAAAATTTATTGCTGCAAACCCAGTTGGTCGATCATGTAGCTAGGTAAAAATTTTCTGATTCATTCTTCCGTATGTTAACTTACTTGAGACATTTATTTATTTTCTTTTAGCATACGTCCCAATATTTTTGTCGGGCGCGTAGATGGTTCCGCAATGTACCAAAAATGGTACTTTGAAGTCACTATGGACCATATTGAACAAACCACTCACATGATGCCACATTTAAGAATAGGTTGGGCTAACACTTCTGGGTATGTTCCATATCCGGGAGGCGGGAAAAAATGGGGAGGAAACGGCGTGGGTGATGACCTTTATTCCTTTGGCTTCGACGGTGCTTACTTATGGACAGGTGGACGACGTACTTTGATTGTGAATCATTTACCTGAGGAGCCATTTATACGAAAGGGAGATGTTATTGGGGTTACAATCGATCTTTCAATACCAATCATTACATTTTCTTTTAACGGCAATAAAGTTCGAGGCTGCTTCCGAGATTTTAATTTGGATGGGATGTTTTTCCCAGTTATGAGTTGTTCCTCAAAACTAAGGTGAGCTAAATGTATACTTGCTTATGTTTCTCATGTAATAAAATTTTTAATTTTTAGTTGCCGCTTTCTATTTGGCGGAGACCATGGGCGCCTAAAATTTTCTCCACCAATAGGGTTTTCCCCCCTGGTACAATGTTTGATGCCACATCAAAATCTAAGCTTAGATCCATGTTTTTACTTTGGAAACTTGTATAAGAATGTTTTGGCCGGACCATGGCTTATTGAAGATGATACCGCCTTTGTACCTAATCCGGTTGATACATCTGGTGTAATGCTTCCTTCTTCCGTTGATCAGATAAAAGAAAAGCTAGCAGAAAACATACATGAAATGTGGGCTTTGAACAAAATAGAGGCTGGATGGTCTTGGGGGGAGCATAGAGATGATTACCACCGAATACATCCATGTCTTACACATTTTGAGAAACTCCCATCACCGGAACGTCGCTACGATAGCCAACTGGCTGTACAAACTCTCAAGTAAGTATCTGTATATGTTTATATCGCCCAGAACTTGGTAATTACTGAAGGACTTTCAATCCCCTTAGTTTAGAAGAATTTAATTTGATACGGAATGGCCCGTTCATATGTATATTAGACCACGTAAAAAAAAACCTGCGATGCGACCGCAACCCGACTAAAATTTTAGTATTTGGTATAGTAAGAATCTCCCCTCTCTGCGATAATTCTAAAAGGTCACGCATTGATCGTTTATTTTCCCATAGGAATTACACGTAAGAAAATGAGTTCTTATCTTTTGAGGATAAATCAAAACGCTCGAAACTATAGGAACGCATAAGATTCTTTAAATTCCTAAATTTTTATTTTTAAATCGCTTGTCCCGCTTGGGTCAAATCTAGAAATTACAAAAAAAAATACAATTTATTTAAAGAACCTGAGTCTGCATAACACTTAAATTGCGTATAACACAGGGCAACGCTGATTTTGGTGCGGCTAATGGTAAAGATGTTTTTGATAAAAGTGTTTGTGCTGATTACGAATTCGTAACCATCAAGTTTTCATCAGGTCCAGATTTTGAGAAAAACGATGTCAAAGTGCCAAAAACTCGCGTTTTTTGCGATACTTGAGAAGCTCTAGCAAAGAAAGAAAAGGTGGTAGAATCTTCCACTTAGGCTTAAATTAAAGATAAACTCTCGACTACTGTACCTGTAAATACCATCCCTGCACCTTGACCTGATGATCACTTATAATCATTTATTGAACAATAAAAAAATACTGGAAAATTGTGCTACTGAAAAAAAAAACCAAAATAATCTGCCTAGTTTGCCTAGCAGTGTGCGCAGCCACTCCATCTTGTTAGAATCTCAAACTAGAATGCTGCTCTGCCGTTGGCCGCAAAAAGTTGTCAATCCCGTCTAGTGCGTGCAACAACGTATTTTTAGAGGAGATGGCTGAACTCTGCCTAACTCAGGTTAATGTTCTTCACAATAAGTTTGGTAAAGTATTAGATCTTGTTTAAGTTGATGATGCATCTTATCCGTTGTAAATAAGTGTGATCCACTAGTTTTGCCCGAAGATGTCTACCACCCTGCTATGGAGGTATCTTACGAAGTTATAAGTGATGGTCAAAATTGCAGTACCCAAGCATACAAACCAAATATTTGCTTTGATTTTTCGAAAGCCAACTTTAAAATGCTTAACAAAGAACTGTCTAAATTGTCGTGGCCTGCATTTAAAGAAAATATTGAAGAAAGCGTTGCACTTTTTAACTTTACTTTACATAAATTATTTGAAAAGCATGTGCCTAAACGCATGTATGTTCCTGAAGAGCAAACACAGTTATGGTTCACTAAAGAACTGAGAAATTTGAAAAACAGAAAGTCGCGTTATTTTAGATTACACAAAAAATCCGGTTTACACTCATACTATGTAAAATACTCACTTTTGCGTCATAAGTTTTTTGAATTAAACAAAAAGTGTTATAAAGCTTACTTGTGTAAAATCAAACGGCGTATAAGATATAACCCCAAATCATTTTATGACTTCGTAAACTCCAAGCGAAATGTACGTGGGTTTCCTTCCGCCATGAAGTATCAAAATACCGTCTCTAGTGATAATCAAACAATTTCTAACATGTTCGCTCAGTTTTTTGAATCCAATTATTCCATTAACTCACATGCTAACATTGACTATCCTTTTAAACTATGTCCAATGAACTCAATAAATATCCCAGTAATTCTCCCGATGATGTAGTAGTTTATCTGATATCCTTAAAGAAGTCCTTCAGTTATGGTCCTGACCAGATCCCTACTTGTATTCTTATATTTTGTTCTGATTATCTCTATGAGCCGTTAACAGCGATATTTAATTTATCTCTTAAAGAGGGCGTTTTTCCAACTATATGGAAGGAAGGACCACTACACCACAGCGGCCGAAAAATAAAATAAGAATAAAAATAATTTTTTTTTTCTTAAAAATTAAATTTTTTTCTTTTTAATTCATAAAAAATCCAAAACGGAAAACAGTGTCACGTAAAGTCACATAACCTATGAACAAAATGAGACATACCTCATGAAATTTAATATTTTAGGCAAAAAATATTTTTTTTCTTCATACATTTATTTTTACCGGCAAAAATTTTGATTATATAGAAAAACGTTATATGAACAGATTAAAGGAATTGTAATTTTTAATTTTTTGAGCAAAATCGGACTAGTGGTTCTCGAGTTATGTAAAAACAAGACCACCAAAGGTGACAATTTCCCCTATATGATAGTTACTAACTTCAAATCGATATATCTCGATTCCTAGACGTGACCCAGGGAAACGCCGGGACACGTATAACTTGTTTTTGACCGATATAACATTTCCCGTTGGTTTCATCCCATCCCGATTTTGACTGTCGCATAGTGTTATTTGAAGCAATTATAACAAATCAGTTGACGCATTCTATCTCTTCTAGCATTTCATATAGTCAACATGGATTTTGCAAGGGCAAATCAACTTCTACAAATTTACTTGAATTAACATCCTTTATCTCAAAAGCATTTAGTGAAAGCAAAACTGTTGATGTTATATATACTGACTTCAGTAAAGCATTTGACAAAGTGTGCCACTCGTTGCTCATCTACAAACTTGATCTTCTTGGTCTTCCACCTAATTTTCTACGTTGGATCTCTTCATACCTCTATGATAGATCACAAAGGGTAATGTTTAAAAATACTATCTCTGACGTCATTGATGTTACTTCAGGAGTCCCTCAAGGTAGCCACCTAGGCCCAGTTCTGTTCTTGCTTTTTATAAACGATATTTCTACAAATATACAATTTTCCAAAATTTTAATGTATGCAGATGATGTAAAGCTTTATAAATCGTACGTTTCAATTAAAGAAAGGTCTTTGCTACAATCAGACTTAGACAGCATGGCTTACTGGTGTCAAGTAAATCTTATGCCTCTAAATCTTAAGAAATGTAAAGTAATGAGCTTCTCGCGAAGAGCTGTTCATCCCGCTTGTTATACAGTAGGTAACCATAACCTGGAACAGGTATACAATTTTGTGGACCTTGGTATCACAATGGATCCTAAGCTTAATTTTAAACTTCATATTAATGTGACAGTCAACAAGGCTAAAGGTGTTCTTGCTTTTGTGAAACAATGGTCAAAAGAGTTGTGTGACCCTTATATCACTCTGTTTACAACATTAGTTAGGCCAATTCTGGAATACAGTTCGGTGGTTTGGAATCCAAGGTATCAAATTTACTCAGACAAGATAGAATTAATTCACAAACAATTCCTACTTTTTGCTTTAAGAAATTTCCGTTGGGATTCTCAATATAACCTTCCACCTTATACGAGCCGATTAAAACTTATTAATCTTCCTACACTTTCCAGCCGCAAGCAAATGCTTGGTACAATTTTTATAGTTAAATTACTAACAGGCTCAATTTCAAGTCCGCTTCTTCTTGGCGAAGTTAGCCTTAATGTTCCCTCCCGGGTATCAAGACACTTTTGCCCCCTATTTCTGAAAGCTTGTAAAACCAATTTTGAATTGCACGACCCACTCCGTTGCTTATGCCAGGATTTTAACTCTCATTCCAGCACGTTTGATATATCAGATCCGCTTTTCTGCATTAAGAAATCGATACTGTCCTCTCTCAATAGATGAATCATTAAAATAAAGACATAAAATCGGCTGATGAATTTAGTTCTGTAGCTGAACAGTTTTAGATCTCGACACTTAACAAACTCCTGCCGTGACTCGGCGCAAAAATTTAAAAAACTGGTTCCGTACGTCATGCGGACTGCGCCCCTCGTGCGGATGGGCGGGAATGGAGGGTAAAAACCGTTGGGATATTAACAATTAAAGGAAATATGAAACTTAATCATAATGAAAAAAATTAGTTAAACAGAACGCGCTATTTCGTAAGGTTCCCGATTTTAGACAGTCTCGGTGAACGATTTAATACCAACTGAACTCGTTATTGAAACTTAAAACGAATTATGGTTAAGTACATAAGTACAAGTAAATATGGAAAGAGAATACAATGAGAGAATGTTAAAAGGTAAATAAAATACGTGTGTATTTATAGAAGTACTAAAACTGTTAGGTTACAGATTTTTGTTATTCATGGCAATTTTCTACATCCTCGGCCCTGCAATAGATGATGCAATTTTAATTTCACATTTTAATATTTGTAAGTTAATGGAAGCAGGGATGCCAACTTGGCTCAAACCGTGCAATTTGTCCCAATTTTACTTCAAATGGCACTTAATTTTTCAATTTGGCACAAAGTGCCAAAATGGCACTTTTGTAAAAAAAATAACATATCAGTACATTTTTTTGAAATCTTTTGCTTGCATTTCTTTTTCTCAACTAAAATTTTCTAATTTATAAAGGCTATTCAACTGGTTTATCTTATTTTATTATTGCACTTTTGTTTGGAAAATGTATCTTTATTTTATTACTAAATGTGAATGATTAAAAGGAATGACACCTTTTTTGGCACTTTTATTTTTCTATTTGGCACTTTTTTATCCTCAATATTGCACCTCATAACTAAGGGTAGTTGGCAGCCCTGATTGGAAGATTTCTGCTGTGTTGTGGGGCAACAACTTGTCTGCAGTAAAAAAGCATATAATTTGTGTTTCAAAAGTGTGTGAAAACCAATCTATTAACTTATATGATCTCGGTTCCGATATTAAATAATCAATAGTGGTTTATACTCGCATTTTGGCACATTGGCTCGTTGAATGTGCCATCTAATAAATAGTGTCGTAATTCTCCTTAGCTGCTTTTAAATGATGTCGTCAATTGCTGCCGGAGACATGAATACAGTGTAAGAAATTTCTTTTTCTATAATTGTTTCCTTATAGAAAGGTTGATTTTTTTTTCCATCTTAGACATTCTGAATTCGTTCAAGATATGCTAATTTAAAACACAGAATCCTTTCAGTGTTCCTCCGGGGTTTTTGGACATGGACTGTTCCTTCAATTTAATAGTGTTCGCTTTTTTTTTGTG